GTTTGAACATGTGAAAAGGGGGATTGAAGAAATTTATAGTTATTATAGCTTTGTTCTGATATTACAAACAACACCAGAGTATTAGGGTTTCCTTATTTTATAATACTTTTATAATGTTTGTTATATTATGTGTTAATTAAATTAGGTAGATACATGTCCGAATCAATAACAACACATAAGTGAACTGTTTTTAAACCATTAGATTAAGGTTTTTGACTGAATGCCGGTGATTCAGCCATAGGTCAGCAGGGGGCGAACTCAGGCATTGAAAATTCTGTATATATACTGGTCCATTTCCTGTTTTTCTTTCAGTGTGTGTGGTTTTGACTTGCCAGTCTTTGGCATAATAAACCCCCCACTCCGGAATTCTGGTGTTGTATGACATTATTTCTTATCACAGATCATTTTATTTAAAACTTGTGTTTTCATCTGACTTCAGCCGATATTAAAACACGTATTTTCTTACAGTTTGGTGACCCCGACGTTCGGCTGCAGGTCAGTTCACTGCTACGCTGTGTTGATGCCGCTTTTCGGCACAGGCCTGTCTTGGTATCCGATGCACGCACGGACGCAGGTGAGCAAAATAGTTTTGCTTTCCAGATTGATAATAAAACGGGACTGTGTGCCAATCGGGGTTACTCCGTTGTGGTCTGTGTGTTGGGGTGTTGAAACAGACTCGCTAATTGTTAGCTTCTGTGTTAGCATTGCTATGCTGAAGGGGGTTCCAACGTAGGCAATGGTAGCTTGTTAGCTTTGCGGTCGTAGACAAAACAAACGCTCTTAGCTAAAATGGATGGTAAAAAATGGGTTTTGAATGGTTTAACATATCGATCTGCTGTGATTTAATGTCATACAATAATATATTTGTTTAGAGTACTCGTTTGAGGCTGTTTTAAGCGCATTTCCAAAATCCTCCAGGTGGGCTTTCTGTCAAAGCCACTCTGTGGAAGGTGGGTAAACCTCCAGGTGAGCCAATCTTTAATTAGCCAYGCTGTGGTAGGTGTAGGACTAAGTAATTAGGTGGTGGGTCTGAGTGAGCAAATTATGCGTCACCATGAGGAAAAATCCAATAATTATTAGTCCATGATTACCTGGTGGGGGGCTACGCATGGTAGTAATAAAAAAAAAATAGTAGTTAAATCCTTTCCAGAGGTGGATTGTGCATGCGTTTTAGGAAAAATCCAGGAATCAAACTCTGTCTTTCCTCTTTTTTCCTGTCTGTGGGAAAATGTGTAGGATGGTTCGCCATTGAGCAGGTGTCTGTTCACACGGCTGTGTCAGGTATTGATTTTAGAGTAAAAGTACTCTTCAGTTAAGAAGTCTGACACAAAAAAGTGACCACTAGTTGAACTGTGAGACATCTGTGGTTGTGTGTACATATTTTGAGGTTGTTTGTTGTTAGTTTAGGGTAACCAGGCTAGAAATTGTTCAACAGTGGAAGTTTCGAGGTATACTGCTAATAGAGTTGTCTGTCAGGTGTGCCAACTGCTGGGCGGTGAACAAGACTTCCAGAGTGGTGGTTACGTGTATACATTAATAAAAATGTCTGATAAATTTATAGAAGAGCTGAATAACTTTCAACATGTCTCATTGGGTGTAATTTTGTACCGGACGTTTCAGATTTACCTTGAGGACATAAAGTCTAAAAATGAAAAAATAGAGAAGGATGTATTTATGCAGATGTGTAAAGTTTTGTTAGCTGATGGTGATTTGTGYCGGTTAGATTTAGCAGCACCCACCCCTGCAGCTGTGGAGAGAATTGTTTGTAAATTGGAGCGTTCATGGCAACAGGGCTTAAAATCAGACAAAACAAAGTCTGTTTTACAGACTAAACAAGCTCCAGAAAAGGAAAAGATATATAGATACTGGAGACGTATGTTTAGAATTATGAAAGATGTTCTGACCTCGAGCAAGGAGAGTGAAAACAAGACCTTGACATCTAACAAACGATACGCAGATGCTCAAACTACACAGTGTGATGCACCTGACGACAGAAGCTCTCATAAACTAGCCTGTGAGACAAAACAAAATCAAGTGACAAAGGATGTGACTGAGACTGAGCAGAAAACAGACATGGCTGACAATATAAGTCCATATAAAGACGTAGTTAAAATGTTAGCTAACGCTAAGGAGCTAATGCCTGTTTATGACTTGTGGTTTGCTCATGTCATCAACTTTAATGAGAAACAGCTGAAGGACAGAGAGGCTGAAACACAAGAGATGAGTTCCTTGGAGACACAGTTAACTACAGATAAGCTTAATTATTTAAGAGACAACGTCAACCAAGTAAAAGAAAAAAGTACAGTTCAGATGTCTCAATTAGTGGAAATTGCTCAGATAGGCCCACAAAACGAGGTGTTGGTGCAGGGAGCAGGGGGGCCAAACAATAATGACCCTCAACATTATCAGCATTGTCAATATTTGCCTGTCACAAGGTGGGGCACAGAATTGGGTTTTAGAAGTGTTGTTAACAAAAAGAGTTGCAAGGTGGATATGTGTTTTGTGTGTTGGCTGTTGAGTATTTGTACTACAATATTATCTGCCACAAACAAAACAAACAAAACATATTAGTCACTAGAAATATGGTTGAAATAAGTTCAATTTGGCTGTTGCAAATAAAGCTAAGGTAYGGGAGAAAATAAATAAAAATAAAAAGCAGTAAATAGATAAATAAGTAATTATTGAAATTGGGAGGTACTAACTTTTCCTGTGATTTCTGACATTTTTGTGTTGAGTAGGTACTTCACTGCTGAGAAGGACTGTCCGTGCGAAAAAAGCAACGATGGTCAA